GACTAAGGTGTGTCTGATCCAAGCCATGGTCTTTGTAATAACTTCCTATGTATCAGAGAGCTGGACAATGAATGACCAAGGATCACAGAAGAAGAATTGATGTCTTTGAGTTGTGGTGTTGGAGAAGAATCTTTAACATATCATGGACTACCAAGAGAACTAACAGGTCTATCCTAAAGAGGGTGAAATCAAGCTGCTCCTTCAAGGATTTTGAGACTCCATCTCACAAACTTTTGGCATGTAGCCAGGAGAGACCAGTCTTTGGAGAAGGATATCATGCTTGGAAGGGTGGAGGGATAGTGCAGGAGGGAAAGACTCCAGATAAAATGGATTGACACAGAAACTGGGGTAATGAGGATAGGTGTGTCGGAGATACTGAAATTAGCCCAAGGTGGAGCAGAGTTCAGAGCTATTGTGCATGGGGTCTCTATGAGTCATAGGCAACCTGAGGGCACAAAACACAACATTAACCCAGTATGTTTTAACTTCAAGTTCTGTAGGATTAAGAAATCTTAAAAACTGACAGGAAAAATCTATTTCTATGAATAAACCAAAACCAAACCCAATCTCAATGCTATTTTGACATGTAGCGACCCTGTAGAAGAGAACAAAACTGTCCCATATGATTTTGACACTATCGTCTTTATAGAAGGAGACTGCCTTAAAGTTTAGCAGAACAGGAGGCAATAAATGATGGAGAGGATGTGGAGATGTAGGAACTCTCATACACTGTTGGTGGGATTGTAAAATGGTACAATCACCCTGGAAGACAGTTAAGTGTTTCCTAAAAAACTAAACAGAGAAACTCCATATGACCCAGATATTCCACTACTAGGAATATAACCCAAGGAAATTAGGACTGAGACACAAACAGAGATCTGTACACCAATGTTCACAGCAGTATTATTCACTATCAAAAGATCATGGAAACGGTGTAAAGGTCCAACTACAACTGAATGGATTGTGAAATTGTGGTACATCCACACAATGGAATATTATTCAGCACTCAGGAGCAATGATTTCTAAAAAATACTACATAACTGGAGAACAGTATGCCGAGTGAACTAACTTAGTCTCATAGGACAAATACTGCATAAGACCATTATTGTAAAAATAGAAAAATAACTAAAACATGTATAGGGATTCAAGGGGGGGAAAGGTGGGTGCAAAGGGGTGAGAATGGATGGGGTGAAACCACAGGGCTGTGCAGTTTGGTGGGTGAAGGGAGGGGGTGAAGGAAATGAGAAGGATCCAGTGGGGACCTAAAAAGATTGGGTAATGTTGGGGAAGGTGTAATTGTGATTGATTTTATAAAACATAATGCATGGGAATGATTGTATGAAACACTATATGAATGAAGAATAGTGTGAAACACAATGTACTTTGTGAACAAACCAATATAAAATAAAATAATAATGATATAAAAAAGATGTCACATAGAGAGATCTCTGTGGGCCTGGTGGACAGAAAGTTATGCTACCAAGACAAAGGCGGATGATCTTAATCTGAGGCCCTCAGGCCTGGTCTAAATTGTTTTTAGTCAAACACTCTTCTAAATAGCACTACTCTGTCCATTTGCTGTACAGAGGTAACTCATGCTTGCTGTGATGCTAAACACATGGTGGGCAGTGTTTGATGGAGCTCCCCAATTAAAACACGCTTGGAAGCAGGAGTGGCATCCACTTCCAAAATAGCTTGCCTCTGAAAACTCTATGAACTTGGAGAAATGATGAAAATTATACAATTGCTCAGGTCTTTCATTCATAGAGTTGCTATGAGTCATCTATGACTCAGCAGCATTTAACAACAACAACAAAAAAAAGATAAGAAAAAAAGTAGACAGTTTCATCTTCCTTTTGTGGAATGGCAAGTTAGTTTAAAACACTAATAGTTGGGGTTAGCAGATGAACACTTTTACCACTAGGCCATCAGAGCTCCTTTTTCAATTAGTTGTTGTTTTGTGCCGTTAGGCTGACTAGTCGTGACTCTTTGAACAATGAATCTGAACCCTAACCTATCCTGTGCCAGCCTCATCATCTCTAATAAATGCAAGACCACCATTACTGAGTCACTGCATTAATTCATCTCATTGAAGGCCTTCCCTTCCTTTGCTGACCCTCTGCCTTTCCAAGTATTAATAATCGGGATGGGTGTGTCAGAGGCAATTCGATTGGCACAGGATGGAGCAGGGTTTAGGGCTGTTGTACAGTACATAGGGTCGCTATGAGTTGCAAACTACTCGACGGCACATAACAACAACAACACAAGAATTGATCCTTCCCAGCAACATGCCTAAAGTAGGTAAGACCATGTGTAACTATGATTGCCTCCTAGCTGCATCCTAGCTAGCAGCCTAGCTGCACCGTGTCCAAGACATGCTTATTTGTCCTTTTAGCAGTCCATAGGATATTTAGCACTCTACTCAGTGCAAACAATGGAAATTACACTGCCATCCACAGGGATGTGTCTTATCTCCATGCTTTTTCAATCTATATGCAGAACAGATAAGAAAACAAACACATTTCATCCTGGAGAGGGTTAAACCGGGCTGCCCCTTGGAGGCAAGGATTCTGAGACTTCCTTTGATACACTTCGGTCATGTTGTAAGGAGGGGCCAGTCCTTGGAGAAGGATATCATGCTTGGAAGGGTGGAGGTCAGGCGCAGGAGGGGAAGGCCCTCTGGGAGGTGGGTTGATTCAGTGACAGGGGCAATCGGGATTAGTGTGTTGGAGACAATGAGATTGACACACAGAGATTAGAGCTGTTGTACATAGGGTTGCTATGAGTTGCAAGCGACTCGACGGCACATAACAACAACAACATATGCAGAATAGATAATCCAGGAGACTGGGCTCTATGAGGAGAAATGTGGAATCAGGATTCAAGGAAGACTCATCAACAATCTGCATTACACAGATGACAGAACCCTGCTTGCTGAAACTGAGGAGGATCTTAAGCACTTGCTGCAGAAGGTCAAGGACTCCAGCCTTCAGTATGGATTGAAGCTCAACATCCAGAAAACAAAGATTCTCACCACTGGGCCGATGGGTGGCATCATGATAGATGGTGAAGAGAATGAGATTGTTAACAGCTTTAGTTTGCTTGGTTTCACAATCAACACTCTTGGTACCAGCAGCCAGGAAATTAAAAGACATATTGAATTGGGAAAGTCTGCTGTCACAGAACTCTATAAAGTACTAAAGAAGCAAAGATGTCAGTCTGGAGACTAAAGTGTGCCTGATGCAGGCCATAGTCGTTGCAATTGCTTGCTATGCATCAGAAAGCTGGACAATGACTAGGGATGATCGGAGAATTGATGCCTTAGAACTGGTGCTGGAGAAGAGTATTGAATAGACCATGGACTGCTAGGAGAGCACACAAGTTCATCCTAGAGAGGGTGAGCCCAGGCTGCTCCTTGGAGGCAAGGATTCTGAAGTTTCATCTGACATACTTTGGACATGTTGCAAGGCAGGACCAGTTCTTGGGGAAGTATGTCATGCTTAGGAAGGTGGAGTGACAGCGCAAGAGAGGAAGACCCTCAATGAGATGGATTGATTCAGTGACTGGGGTAATGGAGGTAGGTGTGTCAGAGACAATAAGATTGGCACAGGTTAGAGCAGGGTTTAAGGCTATTGTACATGGGATCATTGTGAGTCACAGGTGACTCAAAGGCACATAGCAACAACAAAAACCACCACTATAGTAAAGCAAATGCAAAAATAAATCCTAGATTTTATTTTGCATGCCAAAAGCAATCATGAGTTCTTCAAGGTTCATATGTACTATTCATTGTAAGTGTACATTTACGTTTTGAATAATGACCAGTTATTTGCCATCATGTGCCATCTACCATGCAAGATGCTGGCAACAAAGGAATAAGATGTGACGGAGAACCTCACTAAACTTGTTTTTGAGATGGAGAAGCAAAGGAGTATGTACAGCACTGAGTTTTTATGAGTCTTTCATATTTTTCTCTGTTCTCTTTAAATGTATAAAGGACATTTAACCAGGAACCACTTATCATCAATCATATTCAACTCATGGCAGCACTATGTATGTCAAACCATGAACTATGCTCCTTTGGATTTTCACTGATTGCAGTCTTTTGAAGTGCATCTCCAAACAATTCTTTTGAGGTGCTCTATGTAAATTAGATTTTTCTAGAGTTTTCAATTAACAGCTAAGCAGATGAACCATCTGCAACACCAGGGGGATTCCAAAGGATATTTAGTAGTGTTTCCAAAGGAGGATGGATTTGAGAATCACAATATATGTTTTCTGCTTGTCTGAGTATATAATTATTTTGCATCTTACAGAATTTAAATGCTGTCTACATATTATAAAATATGAAAAAAGTCCTTGAGCAAAGAACAACTCTTTGTAAGTCAAGTTTGCAAACATCAAATCTGAATATATGAAAACCATATTTTTAACCAGGCAAACAAAAATATAAATATAGATTTGAGAATTAACAGAAACATTATTTTTAAAGCCTCAAAACATGCATTTGAGAGGGAAATTCTCTCACATTTGAAAGAAAAACTATACGACACATTTTTGTGTCTTACAGGGATCTTTTCAAAGAAAAATGTTAAATGCTTTTGAAATAATGTCTCCAGCCTAGAGAAGTCAAAATTAGACTGAATTATATTTCCTTACCACCTTAAGTAAAAGTTATGGATAAAAGCAGAATGCTTTTAAATTTTGCCATCCCAAATGAATAATTGGTGTCAAGAATGCACATCAAGGGGAGCTCTGGTGACCTAGTGGCAAGGAGCTGCAACTACAATCACAGAGGTGAACGGTTCGAATCCACCAGATGCTCTGCCGGGGAAGGAGGGACAATCTCCTCCTGTACCAGTCAGATCTGATTTGACGGTACACTCACACAAAAATAATAAAAAAAAAAGAATGCACATCAGTTGTGATTGTGACCCGCTTTCTGAAGCTAGAGTGTTAAATAACTGTAAAGCATCATTATGTCCATAGAGAATACTCACATCCAAACACCTGTATAATTCTGGAATATTGGCAAAGAGAATGAACAGACACACACCCAGTTGTATGATCAACACAAGGACAAATACATCTGAGGAGACAAGAACACAACTATCATTTTAAAAATCAGAGTACAAGATGTCACATCAATTGACAGGCATAGTCTAGATTAACACTGCTTAAATTCACTTGAATTCTACTTCCAAACACAGTATAATAGATGGAAAATATTCATTTCTATGCATTGAGTCTCACCTCCACAATTTCTATGCATATCCTTGAGATAAGTGGAAATTTTCATATACATGTTATAAGTTTCAATAATAAAACAAAAAAATTTTGGTAACATTCAAGAAATAGGTTGTCAAAATATGCATTGAAGGCATGCAAATATCTGAATCTCTTTAATGCAAGTGAGCTGCCTTAAATCATTCTCTGGGAGAAAAAATGGGAGAAGGCTATAAATAAATAATTTGTAAACGGCAAATTATGTAGGGGTAAGCATTAGGCTACTTTCTCAACCCAAGATAGAGGAAGAAAATTCAATTTATCTTAAAAAAAGATGTTTGTTTGTTTGTTTTATGGTGATTATTGACGCTTCAACATGTGCTTCTGAAGTTTGCCAGATAGAGGCGTAGTTATGGTATGCAAACAAATGCCTCATAGCCCAACCAAGTCATTTATTCCTCCACCAACTATAATCCTCACCCTAGAATGCACAGGAGATGGAAGGTACTTTGGCCAAAGGTTACATTATGTCTGTGGTAAAAGTCACATTCTGAAAACAGTGGCTCTTTCCACATCTCTTCTATGATTTGACAAATAGAGAAATAAAATGAGTCTTCCTAATCTGGAATATTTACATAAAGAGTAACAAAGAGGAAACTTGACAATGGGCATTGGTGGAGGGCAAAGTGCTGATAAATTCTATAAAGCTTTGCAGGAAGAAGCAACAGACCTAGAGAAGGAGCCCTGGCGACAGGAAGCCTACTAGCATAGTGCATTGCATGACTCACTACTAATTGAAAAGTTGGTGGTTTGAACCTACCAGGGGAAAGATGAGGCAATCTCCTCTTAGAAAAATGTACAGCCTTTCAACCCTTAAGTAGATGGAATTAACTCAATGGTAATGGGCTTGGTTTTAGGAGGTTTGCAGTGATGGTTGGGAAACACCAGAGAAGAGTAGACTCTAGCTGTTCCCTGAGGGACCTGGGGAAGTCTGCTCTGCTCTCTGACAATCTCTCACCTCCCATCCAGCATGAATCTACTCACAGTTTTTATAGATGGGCTGCCTAAATGGTTTTCCTTTGGAGAATACAAGAGCCACAATGATGCAGTTGATTGTTCCCAAGAACCATATAGTGGTGTTCTCAATACTTGGGTAGGTACCATTACTTTCCATTTTTCCTGGAGCAGTTGGGGAAATGGTTAACTTTGAGATGCTTTCATTTTTGACAGGGCAGGCACTAAAAAGGAAACCAAAGAATCAAATGAAATGAGAGAACCAGCCGTTACACCATGCCAGACCGTGTCCAGAGAAGGCATTCAGTGGTGGGAAAGAACTTACAGAAAATAAGGAGGAAAAGAAATCAGCACTTGTAAGTCAACGTTTTGGGATGGATAGATGGAAGGATGGGCAGATGGACGGACGGATGCACTCTTTCAATCACATATCAAACACATTGTTATGTACCTAGTAAAGCTATCTGAGAAGGAAAGATATAAGACATAATTTTAGCCTCAAATGGCTTAAGTTCTCTGATAATGTATAAGTAGAATGTCTAATAGAGACAGTTTTTAAAGTGGAAGAAAAAAGTATTTAATAATTCCATTGTGGGTATCAAGTTTAAACTGAGGCTGTTCAGGTAACTCTAATGTATAAATAATTATAGGTAATTATCACTCAAACTAGGCAAAGATAAGTACAAATTAATGATCCTAGAAGATGAAAAAGTCATTGTAAATGTGTCCAAGGGACTTAGGAACCATTTGCTTTCCCTTCTATAGAACAGGTGAGGTTTAAGAGAGATTAGGCTGTGAGAAAGTGGAGTTGGGCTTATGCTCATACCTGACCATCTCTGTGGAATACCACGGCTGCTTCTGCACCAGGACGAAGCCCACAATGTGCATGACCAGGCTGAAGAGGATGTTAAGGATCACAGAGAGCAGCAGAGGTGGGGAGACGAGCCGACCTGCAGGTCTGAAAGGCACCAGCTTGGGGTAAGCACCATTCAGACTCACTACGAGAGAAATGACAGTCTTATTCACGGGAAGGAAATGATCTCCATTCTTCATCAAAAAGATAGTGTAGCTTTTGAGACAACAAGGTCTAAGAATTCAAACTCAAATTATATGTTGTTATTGTCTACTGCTGAGTCAGAACCGACGCATAGCTGACCCTCCAGTGGATTTTTAGAGAGAGTTAATCGCATGAGAGGAGATTGCACATCCTTCTCCTGCAGAGCAGCTGGTGGATGTGAATCACTTCCCTCAAGTTATATGAGGAATTCTTAAATGATAAAGAACAATAATGAGGTATCACTGTTTTACCTCCCCAAAGAGAACAACTATTCAACTATAGATGGGAAGTGATGAGAGGTACATTGTGGGAATACATGTTGATGCAAATCTTATTCAAGGCAATTTGACAATAGATATGAAGAGACAGTAAAATGTTCATGCTTCTGATAGTTATAATCAGAGATGTGGAAAGATGTTCATTGTAATATTATTTACCATTCAAATTGGCAAATTTACCAGTTACCATTACATCAATTCTGACTCATGGTGACCCCATGTGTTACACAGTAGAACCTCTCCATGGGGTTTTCATAATTGTGACTTTTAGAAATTAGATTATCAAATCTTCCTTCTGTGCAACACTAGGAGGGTTCAAAGCATCAGTCTTTCAATTAGAAACCCAGTGGTTAAATATCTGTATTACTATAACTTTAAATCTATCTAAATAGTATATATAGTACATGATATATAATGTACATATAAACTCAAATTTGTCCATTTAAACTCATAGTGACCCTACAGAACAGAGGACAATGGCCTCATAAGCTTCCAAATCAGTGATCCGTATAGAATCAGACTACCACACCTTTCTTTTCTCCTGTGGCTGGCAGATTCAAACTAGCAAACTTCAAGTTAGTAGTCAATTGTTTAACCACTGTACCATTAGAGTAGTGATCTCTCATGCTCTCTCTCTCTCTCTCTCTCTCTCTCTCTCTCTCATTTCCCGCTCACTCCCTCCCTCTCCTTCTGTTGTTGTTGTTGAGTGCTGTTGAGTTTAGTATGATTCAGAGCAACCCTATGAACCACAAATCTGAACCCTGTCTATCCTGTGCCAACCTCACCATCTCTGACACACTCAAGCCCATTGCCACAGATACTGTCTCAATCCACCTGGTTGAAAGTTTTCTTCTCCTTTCCTATCTTTCCACCTTTCCAAGCATGATGTCACTATCTAAATAATTTCTCCTAGCAATATGCTTAATGTATGTGGGATGAAGATTTATCATCTTTGCACCCTGGCTGCATCTTCTCCAATACATATCTGTTTGTTCCTTAGGCAGTCTATGGTATATTCAATACTCTTCTCCAAGACCACAGTTCAAAGGCCTCAATTCTTCTGTTGTCCTTATTCATTGTTCAGCCCTCAGATGCATGGCAAGTGACTGAAAATACCATGGCCTGAATCAGGTGCTCCTTAGTCCTCAAACTGACATACAATTCTCAATAGTTCTCAATAATTTGGAGAGCTCCATGACTATAGACTTTCCCAGTACCATATGTCTCCTGATCTCCTGACTGCTGGTACCAATGGAATTGATTGTGGATCCAATGAAGATGAAGCTGTTGACAGGTTCAATCTTTTCTCCATCTATCATGATGTTGCCTATCAATCAAGTGGTGAAAATTTTTGTTTTCTTGATGTTGAGATGCAATCCATATTGGAGACTGCAGTGCTTAACCTTCTGAAGCAAGTGATTCGAGTCCTCCTCACTTTTAGCAAGGCAGGTACGTCTTCCACATAATGAAGGTTATTAATGTGTCTTCCTCCAAACCTGATACAACATTCTTCTTCATAGAGCCCAGCTTCTCAAATAATTTGCTCACCATATAGCTAGAATAGGTATGGCGAGCTAATAGAACCCTGATGCACACCTTTCTTAATTTTAAACATGTCATGGATTTGAAGAACTTGCTGCAGAGAGTGAAGACTATAGTCTTCAATATAAATTGAAGTTCAACATCAAGAAGACAAAGAGTCACACCACTGGGACAATTGGTAGCACCATGATGGATGGAGAAGAGATTAGGGTTGTTAACAATTACAACTTGCTCTGCTCCACAATCAACACTCTTGACACCAGCAGTCAGGAAATCAAAGGACAAATTGCACTGGGAAAATCTGCTGTCAGGGACCACTCCAGAGTACTGAAATTCAATAATGTTAGTGTAGAGACTAACGCACGCCTAATCTAGCCCATGGTCTTCGCAATTACTCGCTATGCATCAGTGAGCTGGACAATGACCAAGGGTGACAGAAGAAGAATCAATGCCTTCGAGTTGTGGTGCTGGAGTCAAGTCTTCAACATATACCACAGACTGCCAAGAAAACAAATAGGCCTGTCTTCAAAACGGTGAAACTAACTTCCTCCTTGGAAGCTAGGATTTTACAGCTCCATCTCACAAACTTTGGGCATGTAACCAGGAGGGACCAATCCTTTGAGAAGGATATCATGCTCCAAAAGGTGGAGGAACAGCACAAGAGAGGAAGACCCTAATGAGATGGATTGATATGGTAACTGGGATAATGGGGGTTGGAGTGTCGGAATCAGTGAGAATGACTTAGGACAGGGCAGGTTTAAGAGCTGCTATACACATAGGGGCTCTATGGGTTGCAGGGTAACTCAATGACACATAACAACAACAGTGTATCCTTTCTCTGTTTGCACAATAGTCTTTTTGTCTAGGTATAGGTTTTGCACAATTAAGTGTTCTGGGATTCTTATTCTCATAATTAATGAATCATAATTCTTTATGATCTACTTAATCAAATGCCTTTGCAGAGTCAATAAAGCACAAATAGACATTCTTCTGATGTTCCTTGCTCCTCTCTGCCACAATCCATCTGACACCAGCAATGACATACTTGGTGTCACAACATTTTTAAATCTTATTTGACAATCTAGCAGTTCTCCCCTCCTCTCTCTCTCTCTCTCTCTCTCTCTCTCTCTCTCTCTCTATATATAT